ACCCTCCGAGGAGGATGGCCACACCGCCATTCCTTTTCTCCATTCTCTCTCAAGATTTTAGGCATGTACGCACATGTGCCTGGCGTGAGCTTCAAGCCGCTAGGTCCAGGACTCAGAAGCAAGGTCGACTACGTGGGAGTCCAGCAGTGTGACCACTACACCATCTACTAGTCCCATGTCTTATCTTTTTAAAAAATGTATTTAATTTTATTCATTCATTTATTTTTAATTATTTAATTTAATTTATTTATATTTTTATTATTAAATTTGATCAAAGAGACAGAGAGTGAGAGGGAAAGTGAGAAAGCAAGCTGCCAGGTCTGGGACTCGAACCGTGTTTGGCCACGTGGGAATTCAGCAACCTTAACCACTACACCATCTGTTGGTCCTCATGTCTTGTATTTTTTTTTTTTTTGAAAAGTATGTATTTATTTCTTTCTTCCATGAGAGAGACAGAGATGCACCCCAACTGGGTCCTCACATGTTAATCCATCAGTCTCAGCTGCATTGGATCTTGGACACATGGATGTACCCGGCGTGTTCAGGGTGGTCCTGGGAAGTGAACTCAGGACCTTTCCCATGTGGGTCCATTAACATCACCGTGGCGCCATCACTGGGCCCTCTCTTACTTCTTTTGATTATGGCCCATCTAGTTGGTGTGCAGTGTTCAATAAAAATGATAGGAGGTCATTGTTTTGGACTAAGCTCCTGTTCTAGGTCCCAACAAACCAGAGCAAAATGGGACCACTCAGGCTAGAATGCCATGTCATCAAAACGAAAGGCAGCAGATCCCAAACAGACCAGCTTTTCCTAAAGACAGGGATTGCAGTCTATCTAACTCAGCATAAGGCTGTCCTCTCTGCCTCAACATGTAACAAGGAAAATAGCTGAAACGAACAATCTGGTCCTAGCTCGATTCCAAGCAAATGGTCAGCCATGTGGGATCCAGTACCTTTAACCAGCACGGGGTCACGGGCTGACCATTCAACTATGTACTACTTTTTTGGAGAGATTTTTGCTACAGGGCATGTGTACTTGTCAGAGAGACAGAAAGCGAACATCCCTTCTCTTCCATTCTCCTCTCTGAATCTGGGGCATACACACACGCTCAGAGTTATTATTATTTTTTTTTTGAGAGGTTTTTGCTATAGGGTGTGTGCACTCGCCAGACAGACAGACAGAAAGAGACGGAGAGACAGAAAGCTAGAAATCACCCCCCAGGGGGGGATGGCCACACCACAATCCCTTCTCCTCCATTCTCCTCTCGGGATCTTGGGCACACACGCACACGCAACCGGCGTGAGTTTAAGCCACCGGGTCCGAGACTCGAACCGCGGTTGACTACGTGGGAGTCCAGCGACATAGCCATTACACTAACTGCTGGTCCCTCTTAAGAATTATTTTTCATTTAACTTTATTTATTTACTTACTTACTTTAATTTGCCCAGAGAGGGAGAGAGAGAGAGAGAGAGAGAGAAAGAGAAAGCAAGCTGCCAGGTCCAGGTCTCGAACCACGGTTGGCCATGTGGAAGTCCAGCGCCCTTAACCACCAGGCCACCTGCTGGCCCTCTCAGCATGAGTTTTAAGTAGCCGGGTATGAAACTTGAACTGTGGCCAACTACGTGGGAGTCCAGTGACATAACCACTACACCATTTGCTGGTCCCTGTACTTTACTAAAAATCATTGAGTATACACTTACAATACGTGAATTTTGTGATATAGAAATTATATCTCGAAGAAGCTGGTATGAGAAAAGTGAGAACTTAGTATTGCATGTATATATACATACTTCATATAAACACGGGAGAAGTGAGAAGAAGGAAATGAGCTGGGTCCTAAGAGTGACACTGTATGGGACTAGCAGATGGTATAATGGTTATATTGCTGGACTCCCATGTAGTCCACTGCTCGTCAAGTCCCAGACCCAGAGGTTTAACTCACACTGGAAGACCAGCAGATGGTATAATGGTTATGCTGTTGGACTCCCATAAGCTTGACAGACCCAGCAACTTGAATCTCACCCCAGAAATGTGTGTGCGTGAGCCCAAGATCCCAAGAGCACGGAGAAGTGCTTGAGGCGTGGTCATCTCCCCTAGGGGGCAATTTCTTGCCTTCTGTCTCTCAGGGAGCACAAACATCTCTCTAAAAAAACCAGGAGTGACTGTATATCCATAAACATAAAAGCAGAGGCCAGCTGTGGTGTGGTGGTGAAGGCGGCTAGATCGTGCATGGGTATCTGCACAGTTTAAGTCCCAGACATACAAGCTTGAAAAACATGACAGGTGCGTGTGTGCGCGTGTGCATTGCCCAAAATCCTGCGAGGAAGAAATGGAAGAGACAGGATCATTTCTCGCTTTCCCTCTGTCTCTCTCACTTCAGAGAGCACATGTGCCTTCTGGCAAATCAAAAAAGAAAAAAACCACAAAAGGAAACAGTTAATTTTTCAGAACATAGCTGCTGTTCTCCTGTCTCCTGAGACCAAAGGTCACTTCCTGAGATAGGCCCTTCACTGCTTCCGCACATCAACACCGCACTAGACTGGCTCTGTGGTCAGCGCTTGGACTAGACGCGAGTCCCTGTGCGTCAGGACAGTATCTTCCTCATCTCTGCAGTTCTGACGCCCTCAGTCCTGGGAACAGAGCAACCGCTAAATACCTGTCAAATTATATTCACTTAGGGGTCAGGCTAGACTTGTTCCTGAACTGGACAAGTAGGCAACAGGGCTTAAGTCGGTGTATTACCCCAAATTTAAATGTATCTTCTCCATGTGGTTAAAAATCGAATTTTATCCAGAATAGTTAGTTCACAAACATGTTAAACTTTACAAGATTTTTTTTTTTTGACATTTTTTGTTATAGAGTGCGTGCGCTCACCAGAGAGACAGAGACCGTGAGAAATCTGCAGCCACGCCACAATCCATTCTCCAGTCCCCTCTCCGGATTTTGAGCACGCAAGTGCCCTGTGTGTTTCAAGCCACCAGGTCCGGGACTAGAACTGTGGTGCACCATGTGGGAGTCCAGTGCTTTAAGCACTATGCCACCTGCTGGCCCCAACTTTCCAAGATGGGTCTGCTCAGTTAGCCCAACCCACTGCTAAAGGACCCTGATTCCCCGCACATCCCTGTCCTCACTGCGAGCACCGCGAAGGGTCGC